AAAGAAAGAGGAAGGAAGGAAGGACGGAGAGAGAGAGAAAGAAAGAAAGAAAGAAAGAAAGAAAGAAAGAAAGAAAGAAAGAAAGAAAGAAAGAAAGAAAGAAAGAAAGAAAGAAAGAAAGAAAAGATATAAAGGTTTGGGCTATATGAGCAACTTTTCATATACAGTGTCTCTCTATAGTTCTGGATAGGTTGAGAAACAGTCCAGTAAAGTCTCATCCAAATTCAAAATTTAACAAAAATTTGGATTTGAAGAATGTTCCCATTCAATTTTTAAGACCTAGGAATTTTTTTTTTTCAAATTTGAATCTTTCAAATAAGCAGGCATTATATATTTTCTAAGAGGATGTGCTGGGTGTGAAAACTACATTTCACTACAAAAGCATGAAAAAAGCAATGGTGGGTAGTCCTTGGCTTTGTAAAACACAGTTCCAAATGCCAGGCTCCCCATAAACTTGTTTTTCTAGAGACAGACGGACATGAAGTCTAAGAGAACAGCCTAACCCCAAACCCCCATGCTGAACAGGGATTGATAATCACAGTTTTTTTAAGCAAATCTGTAGCCATCTTGCAGAATTGATGTCAATGCTATTGGAAATTTCTTCCTGGTGCAAATAGCAGTTCTGTGGGAAGGACCACAGCAAAGGGTTAAATTTCCCCTCCCTACATGCTACTGTCTAAATCTTACCCCCTCAGTCCCCATGGGTACCTTTGGATGTGGAATTACACCTGTGTGATTTGTCCTTGAAGAAGCAAATAGCATGAGAATCACGAAACCCACCTGAAAATGTGGAAATATTAATACCTCATGAAGTTATGTCCTTCCAATTAAAAAATGCTAAGTACATAACTCCTCTGGCTTTTTACCTGCCTGTTCTTAGGAGCAAATGCCTCCTACATTATGTATACATTCTCACTGTTAGTTTCAAAGGAGCGAAGATATATAGAGGTTCACAAAGGATGCAGGCCTTTGTGCAGTAAATGGTCATCCTTTGGGTGAGTCACAACTTCCAGCCCTCTAAACTCCCCAATATCTAGACTTGTGCTTACGTGATGTATTTTTTTCATTTAAGTATGCAAAAAATGTAGGAGATAGCATTGACATGTGCTTACTATGTATTTAGGAGGTGACTAGAAATTTATGGTTCGGCATCTAAATGTGGAAACTAGGGCATGGGGTTGTTTCTGTAGCAATATTTCTGGGATTTAGGCAGTTTAGGACTATGGATGATCACAGTAGGACAGTTGCTAAGAATCTGAAGAGAAGATTTGTGTGGGTGGCTACATTTGGCAAGTTGTTGGGTGTATACATGTGTTTTTGAGCAGGCATATAAATATGTGTGAGGAAAAAAAGTTCACCAGTGAATACCTGGCTGATATGTGTCTGTGTGTAGGTCTGAGCACAAGGGGGAGAGGATTGTACAAGGCACATATGTGGGCATGTGTGTTTGTGTTTAGGGATGGTGGGGACATAGAATGTGCCATATTTGACAGTTACTGCATTTTTAACAATTACATTTTTCTTATTTTGAAATGTGACCATGTCCTCCTAAGAGCCCTTTTTCAAAACTCAGTGTTAAGCCTTGTGTGAATATTTGAAAACAAATTCTAAATTCTATAAATTTAGTTTTGTTTTCTAAAACTCTCCAATCTTGTAATATCCATAAGTGGGAAAAATCTCCCTTCTTTCATCAGTATATACATACCTACATAAATGTAAGACATTTACAATTTGAATGCTTATTTCAACAAAGATAATTCTTTGAGATCATTCCATTTGGTCTAGTTTAGCACTTGTATATATTGGTATTGTTCAGAGGACTGAATATCCTTCTTTAAGGATCATATCATGACAAATTATACTGGATCTAAGACCTGCAGAACCTTTCAATGGACCAGTCCCAGAACAGGCTACTTAGCACAAAGTATAATTATAGCTCAGTGGTAGAATGCTGATTTTGCAGGCAGAAGAGTTCAAGTTCATTTTCTTGCATCTCTAAGTAAGACTGGAAAAACAGTTTTTCTGAAATCTTGTAAAACCCTTGTCCTGATCAGCTAGACAGTATGGAATTACAATAGAAGAGAATATATGTAGCTCGGTGTTGAACTATGGAGTACTGACGATGTCCCCTAGTTGGGTAATGAAACACCTGCAAGCAAGCAACTAAGCTCAGAGAAAACCAAGAACTCCACAATACAGAATTATTTGAGCCAATGGTTTGACTCATTATAAGGCAGCTTCCTTTCTTTCTGTATGTTTTTAAATTTGTGTTATTGCCTAACACAATTTGTAGTTTCCTAAAAAAAATTTTCATTTATTTGTTGCATTTATACCCAACTTTTCTTTGAGAGCAAAAAGCAATGGATACATAGAGAAAAGGTCTCCCCTCATTTTATCCACATCAGACCTTATCATTCCAAGATGTGCTGAATAACATCTGCTATCAAATCAACTAAAAATGGAGAGTGATGCATTGCTTCATGGCTCTTTGCCCTTTCCAGATGTGCTGTACTGCAAACACAATGGCAGTTGTTTGTGTGTTGGAGAGAGGAAATGTGGGGCATCCACTGGTACAGTGTGGACTGTGGAGAAGTCAGTAAGGAAGAAACAATGTTAGTGATTGTTAACCCTTAACTTTATCTAATTCACTGGAGGATGAAATGAGCATGGAAGGATAATAATTGTCTTGAGTTCTTTTGAGAAAAGGTATGATATGCCTCTAATACATAAAAGTATGGTAAATGTAAGATAATGTTTCAAACTCTCAAACCCAACCTTGCAGCATGTGTAGAGTAGATTTTGCTAACTAGCAGTGCCAAAAAAATCTCAGATTAATGGAGGCTCCAGAGCAGGAGCTAAAAAAATCCAGAAAAACACTGAAATCCAAGAATGTCATATTTCAGTCTTTTTGCTCTTAGCTCTGAGCTAGTATCTTACAAAGAGGTTTTCAAAAAAGGATATCAACCACATGAAATTTATACAAGGATTGCATGTTGATCTAGGGCCACAGGTTCCCCACTCCTAATGCAATCTATGCAATGTTTCTGCATAGTTATGAAGCTTTCCAGAAATTGATCCCATGTTCCAAATATGATGGCCTATGGGGAAGAACTAAGGTAATATGTTCTAATATGTTCTAAGAAAGAACAATATAATAGTATATCCCTCTTGGGGGGCATATAAATGCAGGAGACAAAATGAACATGGGCTGGACATATCCTTCCTCAGTCCAATTTACTTTTTCAAGTGAGTCCTGCATTCATTTAAAAGCTGCTCTCAAAGACAATGCAGCCTATGAAATCTAACATACCAACTTAACTGGTCCAAGATCATTCTTGAAATCCTCAATTTGTGGCCATCATATTGGGATCCCAATATCTGGAGATC